TCTTCAGCCAACTCCTCTCCGTCTGCGCCTCCGAGAGTCGAGCCTTCGGGCTCCGACTCCAGGGTCTGAACGTCGCTGTAGTGGCGACCGTAACAATGGCAGACAGAAGTGGAGTGACTACAAGAACGACAACGAGATATTCGTCGGTTTCATCGGCCAAAGCGAGTTCCATCTTGTTGACCAAAATTTCTTCCACCATCTCCAGTAATATTATGTTTTTGCGGCTCGGTCGATGTTATTAAAGTTTGTTGCCATAATTTATTTTTTGAAAGAAGATAATATTTGCGTTTGGATTTAATCGAGAATGAGCTAAATACAAATCGTTCAACACATAGACCGATCTCCGAGAAAATTTCCCAGACGACGGCGTGTGTTACTAGCCAGCTAGTATTTTTATCGTTCTCGTCGGCCCGCAGCATTAGAATTTCAAGCGCGTTAATAATAACAATTTTATTTTATTTGCAAACAATTCCCAACATATTGTAAATTATAAATACAGAAGTAAATCTGCTCACCTCCTATAAGCAAAAGCTTGGGTGAGAGGCTCTTAAATTAGACATTCAATTTAAATACAAATAATAACAATAAAGTACAATTAAGTATAATATGAGACTTACTTAATACAAAATAGAGCGTTAATTTTTCTAAAGACTATTATTATTTATATCCACCGACACGGTCGTGGCGCGAGCTAAGTAAAAAAAAAATAATAACTGCACGAAGGTGTGTGTGTATATATAGTATATAGAAGCAGGAGTTGCCTATTTAAACTGTGTAAAATACAGGTAAATTTGTTATACGACATTACGACATAACTATTTTCTTATGCATCAATTAACTCCTAGTAAGCTCCAAAACATCAGAAATATTGTGTATAACGTGCTTTTGTAAAAATCATCAAAATCTTAAATAGTACGTTTAGAAATGAAGTTATAATTGAAAAAGTGCGAACTTTTTAATGGAAATTTATATTAAATTCAGAATCACGGTAGTCGTCGTCGTCGTCGTCGTCCTCGCATCAGCGTTGCCATTGTTACCAACAATATTACCGTTCTTATATAGATTATTGTGTAAATACTCAATATTTAATAATGATAAATATTAGTGATATCACAACAAAAACTCTTCTTAAACTACATGCAAAAATGGCTAAGTAAAAAATAATATAAGATCTTTAAGCAATATAAAGATGTGATATCATGAATAAATACTAAGTATATTGAATTTAAGTAAACTTATTTTGTTTCAATAATTTATTTAGGTACTTGGCGAGGAATTATTTAGAATAGTATATAAATATTAATAATAATATTTTTTAAATAATAAGTTATATTTTAATAGTCCTTCGCCATTTAATTATTTTGTTCATTACACTTTGTTTCTTTTAAGAAATAATTCCTCTTCAAGTAAATAAATTATTGAAAAAATAAGTTTACTTAAATTCAATATACTTAGCATTTATTCATGATATCACATCTTTCTAGTGCTTAAAGATCTAATATTTTTTTTTACTTAGCCATTTTTACACGTAGTTTACGAAGGGTTTTTTTTGTGGTATATTATGTAAAGGGCCGTTAGTATACTTCAGGCCTCTAAAATTATGATCTTCCCGGGCTGTTTTTTTCTCCCAGTCCGCCACTGCAATTCTGAGAGAAGATCGTCTATCAGCCTATAATGCAGGGGTGGCCAAATCACAGCTCGCGAGCCGCATGCGGCTCTCGTCACAGTCGTATGCGGCTTGCGGTCTTATTTACAAAAACTAAAATATTTTAATTTTTTTTGTATACATTTATAAAAAAAATGTTTTTATTGTATTTATTTAAGGCTATAGTATTATAGTGTATAGAATATAGATTAAATCAAACAAAAAAATAATTAATTAATATGAATAATTAATTAAAAAATTAAACATTAAGCTACCTAATTTTGTTTGCGTGGTACTTTTTTCGTGTCTACTTTTTTAGTAAGCTTCTTAAGATCTGGTTGAATTGATGTAAGAGCAGTTCTTAGTAATTCTGTAAGATGATCATCAGTCAAATTTGAACGATATTTTGACTTAATTATTTTCATTGTTGAATAAAGTGATTCACATGAATACGTCGTTCCAAAAATTGATATCAATTTTACCACCCAGTTTTTAATATTTGGGTATTTTAATATAGAAATATGCTTCCAAAATTCCAATATAGAGGGACAATTGTTTATAAACTGCTTAAGACCTTCATCTTCTAATAACTCCAAGAGTTCTATTTCGAGATCCACTTTATTTGTGACGATAGGATGTGATAATGGACATCCCTTTTCAATGACAACTAAAAATGGATTTTCTAAAAATCCGAATGAGGGTTTTAATGCCTTTAGGTCTCAAAATCTTATAGTTCTTCCCATTCTAATTTAAATTCCCGTTTTTCTTCTTCATATTTACGTTTAACCGCTTTTTTAGAAATTGACATCGTAACTAATTTTCGCAAAAAGTATCGGTAAAATATTAAAAATATAATTATTAAATATTACAAATATTTTACAAAACAAATTGAGGTGTTTACCATAGGACTATTCAACACAGACGTCACAGACTACAGAGTACAGACTATATTAAAAACGATATAATTTCATATTTCGTAATTTGATATGTTTATCGGCTGTTTGCTATCTTTATTACTTTTGTGGGATAGAACACAGACTTCTATATAGAAATCTGTGGTATAGAAGTACACATTAGATAATTTGGCTCTTGATAAAATTTTATTAATACATGTGGCTCACGTACATAGTCATGTTGGCCACCCCTGCAGTATAATGTCTTGAAATCAAATGTATCTTAAGTAGGTATTCTAAATTCAAAAAGATAGGTATGCTAAATTATTTAATCAGTTTTGCTTATGAAGCAAGTTACACAAAACTGAATAGAAAGTATGGAGTACACAAATGCAATGACTAAATCCTGTGTAAGTAACAATCAAATATCAAAAATATACATATGTGTTAGTCTAGAACTCTTTATTATAAGAAAACAAATCACAATTTGATATATCATTATATCATAATACAAATGTATTTAAATAACAAGGTATAAAATCACTAAAAAATATTTATAAATTAGCAATTCTTAAAAAGACCATGGGTGTAATTAATAACAAGTTTAATTGATGATAAATTGTGTTAAATGATTGCAAAAATAAGTTATTAAAAATAAAAAATTTCATCAGAAATAAAAAAACATTGGTTATTCTCCTTCATCTTCAACATTACGTCATTACCAAATTCCAACAATTTTTGTTTATTTCTGTAATTTTATAATAACATATTAGTGAACAAAACTACTATAATTTTTTTAAAGATAAATAGTAGTTAATTTAACTAGAAATAATTAAATAGGGGTTTATAAGATAAGATTCATTTAACTCCTATCAATAATATATTTAAAACATTCAGTTCAGGGATGGCCAAAGAAGATTAATCCATTAGAAACAAATTATAAATCTTAGTACAAATGTCTATAACCCTCGTCCAAGTTGTTTAATATATTTTTTCTAGAAGTAAAATAAATATTAATGGTATAAATATAGTATAAATAGTATTAAATACTATATAATGAACATTTTTATTATAATATTATAACTGTAATAATGTGTAATTTAGTATAAATTTTTTTGAAAACCTTTGCAACGACATTACAAACATTTCAAAAAATAAAAATAGTAAAAAATAATGATATATTATATTATTTAAAACCATTGCTAACATAATTTTAAAATAAAATTATTAATATGTCTTGTCCACGGACTAAGATATACAAAAAGTCTGCAAAATTAGTTCACACATAGGTAACAGTTATATCTTTGTTTCAAAATATATATTTTTTAATGTAAAATGCCTACTTATGTTGAAAAGAAATAAAGAATAATATTATGTTATAATAATTATAATAAAAATTGATTTGGTATTCATATTATTTTAGTTCAATGCTAAATCCACTAAATAGATGGCGCTGGGTGTCCGTGATGTCCATGATGAAAACATTTGGGTTCCACTGATAATACTCCGTTTCCAGTCCTGTATATCTTAGTCCGTGGTCTAGGACCTAGGTATAAGACATATTATATACATGTCTATGGTATTAAAAAAAAAAAATTGACCTATAATAGTTAGGTACCTATAATAAATTCCAAATTAATGATATAACGCCTTATACATCAACAACAAACCGTGATACTATCATAAATATATAATAGTACTCTTTAGAAGTTACAAGTTCCCACGAACAATATTATAATAATCACAACAAAATAACTAAAATAGTTATTCTAGGTTTTCTAATATGTAATTTCGTCCAAATTTGAACTTAAAATGACTAAAAATAAACTGTGCTTGTGTAATGTGTATTTTTTAGATTTATTGGTAACAGAGTATGTCATAGGTAGGCATAGATATTTTGCATTTATTACTCAATGATATTTTAAATTCACAACAATATTTGAATCACCCATTAAATTAAATTTTCTTATGTGTGGTCATACTGCGTTGTAGTCAACATCTTATCAACTATTATTCACTATCAACACTATTCTATTTATCAACAAAATACAAATTACATTTTCAAAATACAAAAACTGTCTGTAGCCTTTTTTGATTTTTATGTATTTTGCTTCCTTGATGTATAATGATTTTAAAACACCGTTAAAAACATGAAAGTGATGAAGCCTTTAACTCAATTAAAATTACATTTTATTACTTAATAATTTTATTTAATATAATTTCATTTTACCCAAGTACAACAAACATCCACCAGTAAGCTAATCACTCACATATAAAAAAAAAAATTTAATTTTCCAATATTATTCACTATACAGTATTAACTATATAATATGAGAGTTATATAAGGGAAATATTTTTTTAATTAAATTCCCATATTCCAATTAGTAATATAATGTTAAAGTTTTTGTAACAATGTAAATTAAACTTATCTAATTCATTAAGACCTGCTATTTGTTTTAGAAATGTCTGCTGGAGAAGTGGTTATGGAAGTGCCAACGAGCTTGAAACGTCTTGCACGATTGGTTGTAAGAGGTTTCTATACTATAGAAGATGCACTCATAATTGACATACTGGTTAGAAATCCTTGTATGAAAGAGGATGACATGTGTGAATTATTAAAATTTGAAAGAAAAATGCTTAGACAACGCATATCTATACTAAGAAGTGAAAAATTTTTACAAACTAGGTTGAGAATGGAAACTGGTGCTGATAGTAAGGCACAAAAGGTCAACTATTATTTTATAAATTATAAGGTAGGTAACTAATATGTTATTAGAATTGAATAATTTTGAATATACTAATGTTATATAATATACAATTTTAGTCTTTTGTGAACATGGTCAAGTATAAACTTGATTGTATGCGAAAGAAAATGGAGACACAGGAACGTAATGCAACAAGTCGAGCCAGTTTTAAATGTGTTCAATGTTTCAAAACTTTTACCGATTTAGAAGTATGCATACAATAATTATTCTTAACATCAATTTCAAGCTTAAATATAATATAGCTCGATAAATATACACTCTTATGAATAGGTAGTAGAAATTTCATGATTTTAAATATCATTTAATATTTAAATTGAATATTTTATATTAGTGTAAAAAAAAAGTTAATTTCCAGGTTTAAATTAATTTAATAAATAATCATTGGTACTCGTTAAATATGCTATCTATGCTATACCAAAATTATTGTTTGTCATTGTTAAAGTTAATAGTTAATACAGAACTGTATTGAATAAATAATTTATTATAGCACATTTAATTAAATTCATTGAATTCTGGAGCAAATATAAATAAATATCATGGTGATGCATTATGTTAGTTGGGGTAACAATAGGCCGGTATAAGCTACTTGTAAATCAAGATATATTCATACACTTACAGCACCAACGTGGTAACATGGGTACTTATAATTACTTATTAATTATTATCTTGAGGTTGTTAAGTAAGTATCGAATTGAGAGTTTATAAATATTCGCTTAATTTTTATTTTTAATGCAAATCTTGGGACATAAGTCATAAATTTTACTAACAAAAAAAAACACAAAATTCATACATTTACGTAATATTATAAATTTTATAATATACATTAAACCTAAACTAATAAACAAATTCTGCTCGAAGAATGTCACAGCTGATGGACTACTTTTAATTTTTAACTGATTACCATGTCTTGCAGTTTTTATTCAAATATGCTTATTGTAAATTGTTCATTTTTTATGAATATATTCTATATATTCTTAATAAATCTTATAAAAAAAAAAGATTATCTTATAAATTATATATTATACCTTCATATTATTTATTGTGAAACACTTGTGGGTAATTCTTAAATGAAAGAGGTTAGGTTAGGACTACTTAAGTTAAATATGATTAATACTTTTTGTATAGGCACTTATGTAGGTTGATTTAGGGAGTTTGCTAAATCAATACCCAAACATTTCATTTTATAGGCTGATATGTTATTTGATTTCCAAACCAACGAATTCCATTGTACTTTTTGTGGGGAGTTGGTTGAAGAAGACACTTCGGTTTTACCACAACAAGATTCTCGTGTAATGTTGGCTAATTTCAATGAAGTTGTAGAACCTTTTTATTCAATACTTCGTGAACTAGATGGTATCCGTCTTGCGCCAGAACTTCTCGAACCTGAACCTACCCGTATTCTAGGGTACATGCACATTTTCATTGGGATACTTGATTTAAAAAATTAACTATTACAATTTTCAACTATTTTGTTTTGTTAGACTGGAATCAGCAACATCACAGTCTTCTGGCGGTAAACAAATGAATGGTATGGAACGATGGGGACCTGATAAAATGCGAAATCTGGACTCAAATAGTTCTAAAATGGAAGTTACTATTGGTGAAGACCTCCAAGACAATCGTCCTGTTATCAAAGAACGACCTATATGGTTAACAGAAAGTACAGTTGTAGAAAATACTTCTACTCGAGTAAGAACATTTTCCATATTTTTACTTTTTTAAATTATAACTAATAAAATAATACAAAAGAATACATTATATTTATCTAAGGTTATTTGTTTTTAATATTTTTCTGGGCTGTAAATAGATTATTGTTTGTGACAATATCTAAACTACCCTAAGCATCATACCATACTATAGAATCAGTCATTACAAAATAAATCATACCCAGGATATGTGAATGCGGGACTTTTTTTGCATTTATATAAAAAAATAAGTTAGTTTTTAGAGACTGTACTATATGAGTATCCTATTTTAGGATTTAGCATTATATTTAGCATTTATAAATGTTTTGATGCTTGTTTGAATTATTTTACATTTTAAATTATAAATTATATTTTATTTCGCCTAGACCCGAGTTTAATTATCTCTGAATGCTATAAAAATTGCTAAATGTTATATTTTATTTAGTTCTATGTTATTGTTTATTGTTCTGAAATTGTGTCTTAATAACTATAGGTTCTACTATCCATATAAATGTTTGGAATATTTATGTATTAATATTTAATACATCAATTGTGTTTAAATACTTTTTAAGGATTCAATTGAAATGGAGACTAAAGATCATACTGAAGGAGCTCCACTTGAATTCACTCCTGATGTAGATATAATGACCGTCTTATTGCAACATGAAAAACGTGCGGATCAAACTGATGGGCCTGGTAAGAAAAGTGGGCAGGACGCGGATTCAAGTGATGAAGATTTTTCAAAAACCATAAAGAATGAACCTTCTATTGGTTCAGGTAATTAAATATTACTTATTAGTAATTATTCAAGAATGTTAAATATTTTGTTTAGGAAATATGGAAAATATTTATAAAGAATATTGAACTGCAAAATTTTTCCAAAATTAAATGAATAATTCTCTTATTTTCAAAAAATTAACCAAAGCCAAAACTTATATGTTATTGATATATATTATTATGTATATATACAAGTTATGGTACAAAGTCCTAATAAATAAATAAAAATCCATTGTTTGTTGGTTTAATAAGCACATTCATTAAAAAATCAATTTAGTATTGTGTTTTTACTTTGGTTTTAAATGTATGAATAATTATTTTAGGTGTTGAAGAGCTAACATCAGAAGAGGAAGAAGATGACGAAGACGTACCTTTGGTAAGTGTGGCTGGCCGTCGTGTACCAATAACAGAAGTAGTAAATATGACAGATGCCATTAGTCAAATGACACCATCCGAAAAAGAACACTACATACAAGTTTATCAAGACTATTTCTCTGCGTTGGGTGATTAAATGTTCTATAATGTCAACTAGGTTGTGATATTAAATATTATAATAATAATGGTACAAAATAAATGTATGTTTTTTTCTAAGTTCTTATGTAATCCATGTATGTGTGATATAGAAAATATTAACTACTTTATTGAATGGATAATATTATATTTTTGTATCAATAGTCTTAAATTATGTTTTGTTTGTTTAGTATTATAGTTTATAAGTGACCTAATAATAGACTGTATTTTTTCTCTTTTTTTATTTTGATAAATTGACAAATTTTTACATAAATATACAGTAAGAAAATCTGAGTAGTTGTGCACTGGTGCGTGGGTGAAAAAGGTATCCCAGTGATATCACTTCAGGTATTTTTTTTTTTTAATTAACATATCAATCAATATTTTTTAATCTTTAAAATCACAAATGTATAAGCAAACTGCTACTATCCATGAAATGTATAAGTTTTTACACTCAATAATTCTCCTCACAAATTGTTTATATTCTTAAATATTTATTGTAGAATAGTAGCAAAAATAGTATGTCATGGCGTCATGCAAAATATTCTAATATTGAAATAATTTTGATTTAAGTAGATATGAATGAACAGTATATTATTATGCAGTTAAATAGTTTTGAGCCCAGATAACAAAATATATACCTATAATAAGGAAGATAAAGATAATTTTCTTAAAAATATGTATAGGTATCTAGGTACAGTTAATATAAAAATTTAAATAGGACCTGAATGTCTACTGATTTAAAATTATTTTCCCTAAATGTATGATTAATTAGCGTCTTAGATAAAGAATTTATGGAAATACTTGCACCATCATTCTCTGTGCATTTATGTAGTGAATATAAAATAATCTTTTACCTCACCTTACACTCCCAAGTCCCAACGGCCAACAATATTGGGTTGGCTACCCCTTTGTCCCACACAACAATAGGGCTGTAGCCTGTTACTTAAGTACACTCACATCAGCTATTTTAAAGTTTCTATCTATTCTTTCGTCTTACTCTCCACAGTTCCAAGACTTTCCATTATATTTTGAAGTAAACATTATTAGAAAATACAAAACAGTTGTACTATACCTCAGACCTCTATATCTATAAACTGTATATTGAGGAATATAATAAGAAGGTATAGGTGTAGGTACTTCGCTATTATGTTCCCAGCTATAACATAATATTATGAAATAATCTTAAGTATTAAGTTTATATTTTAATGTTGTATAGAACAGGTCACAGATACATAGTTATTACTTATTTGTGTAACAATAATCATAATAACATTATATTATTAATTGACGAAACAGCTTTGAACATAGGATAACAAGTAACAACATTTATCTTTATCTTTAGCAGGATGAAAGACTGCTTATGAATGTGAGCGCGTTTAAATTGTTTCTTGTTCATAATTTTTTTTTTCTTATTGAACTTAAGCTTGACAACTATGCCCATTAGGCATTAGCTGTTTTTTTGTTGTTTATAAGGGGGGATGGTTGGTTGAAACACGTGTGTTTTTGAGTTTGGCAGAATTTCAATTGGGCACACGTAGGTTTCTGCCATGCCTGATCGGGGGATGGCGCCCTCACTCTCTAGAGTCTAGACAGTTGCCTATCAAACTACATAATAAACGTTTTATAACCATATCAAACTTTCAATGGTGTTAAATTAATCTGTAGTTTATATTAATAACATGTTATATTGAAATCTGAAGAATTGATTAGTCAGCTAGTAAATAGTAATATTATAAAATAAATTTATATTTTAATATAATACACAGTTATAATTAAATTAAACAAACGATAACTTATGATTATCTTAATCACTTTAATGAGTATCTTCCCACGCTTTCAGATTTAGTGTAAAAGTGTTACAATCGATTTGTCTTGTATTAGTTCTGTAAAATACATCAAATTTATAATCGGATTGGTAATATTTTTATATTTTCTTTTCAATGTAATTCTCAACACGAATAAACATACTGTCATTGTACAATATTCAAGACAGTATTATAATATGTCGCTTACCTTCTGTCGAATGGCATAAATATGTTTTTCGGTAAAAACCGTAGTTTAGACGTCGCGCATATTACATTGCCGAAATTAACGTTTTTCAATGTATGTAATTGTTCTGAAAACAAAACAATTAATATAATATAGGTGTTTTAAACGTATATAAGCAACGCTTACCTATAAAATATAAATATATATTATAATACCTAGTTTAAGTTAATTTTGTACAATCTAATAAATGCAGAATGTGGAAATTTAAGTTAATTATACGCCATACGGTTAGGTAAAAATAAAGATTGAAAAACGCAGGCAGTTTATTAATAGTATACCTATTTTACGCATCATTGAATAATGAGTAGGTAGATAATGGATCAGGGAAATTTCGCATTTGAATTTTGAAAGGATTGAAAATAATTGCATTCTATAAAACGTTTCTAACCAGTGCTTCGATGAAATGTATAGATAAGTCATAGCTATATGTCTATATATATGTACTCAGTATGTAAGTACCTTCGTATATTTAATATAACATAATAAGAGCAAATTTATTATATAGGAATAAATATAATTTAGTTTTTAGTGTGTAAAAATCTTGAATTATAATAGATTTTAGATGTTTAAAAAATGTCATAATTTCAGTGTTTCTTACCAAAATATATTTTAATTAATGTATCAATACCTACTAGGTATTGATACATATTACCTACAAATTATTAAGGGTTCATATTAATAGGTAGATGACTACAATAGATAGCGATCAGTGGACGAGGAATATAGTGTGTAGAGCTGGTCATATTGAAGTAATATTCTCTTAGGGAACCTAACTTAATCTAACAGAGTAGGTAGGTATTGTTTATTATCATTGTTTTATTTCTTCGAAAAGATAATGGGCCCCACTGAACGGGTTCAGTTCAGGGCCAAATGTAAACTCCTACACGAATAACCTTTTTACCTGAATCATCATTAAATGTAAACTCCTACACTAATAACCTTTTAAAATTTTTACCTGAAAATCAAAGATATTGTAATCTCCTACATAGAAATTTTTCCCTTTAAAAAATAGAGTAATATTACTTAAATTCACAATTTTAAAGTTAAAAAGCTCAAAATTATCATAACTTGAAAATAATAAATATACATTATTTAATAAACAAACGCTTGAATAGAGCTTGTTTATACGCTGTATGATAATTCTCGAAGGTTAGATTATATCCATATTATATACTATACTATACGTTCATATCGGCACTTGCAGTACAAAATGTTTTAAATAGATCAGCGATATGGCATCGAATATTGTTGAATAACGATAAAACAAGTCATAAAAATATACGTAAATGACTATGAATTAGTATTGTTTTATTGAATTTTTTATTATCTATATTTTAAAAATTTTGTTTTAAACGTAAATGATAATGATTATTGTTTTATTAACATTTTTATTATATTTTTCAAACCATTTTTATTTTATGTGTTAACATATTACAAGACTGATATTTTTTACAGCAATACGAGCTGTATTAATTTTTTGTTGGAGTTAACACTATCTTTTATATGAGTTAACACTATCTTTTGTAGGAGTTAACACTATCTTTTGTAGGAGATAACACTATATTTGTAGGAGTTTACCATTCCCCCAGTTCAGGGCCGTACAAAGGGGTCCGTGTTCTGTAACCTGTAATTTAACATGGACGTACAAAGTGTGAGTTATACATTTTCAACGATTAACCATTAGGTAGGTATAGTATAAATAGGTCAAGTACTACACAATGTCATCCCTTTTTAAATTAACTACTATAGGTATTTAACTCTAGCCAAACGATAAAGGTATCCCTATCTTTGTAATATTATCTAAGAGAGGCTGACTTCAGTCCCAAAAGCCCCTTCTTTTCGTACCCGATCCTGGTTATGGACGATTTCCGTACGTATCATATACAAATTATCAATACTCTGTGTTAAAAAAACTATAACTAATCGATCATTAAAGTTAATAGAGATTATTATTATTTATAATTTAAAATTGATAAATTTCAATAAATTTACATTCATTCATCATTGAATTTACTAATACTAAGATAATGATGTATAATAAAAAAAAATAATTAACTATACATAATTATCTTAGTATTAATACGAAAAACTAGTTTTAGTGGAATTTATTAATTTTATAATTTTTATAAACATTTATCAACGATTAATCGTAGAGTTTTTTTTTCTCAACACTGTAACAATGCCTACCCGGCGTAAAACTTCCAGGTTGTCCGAGTATGTCATAAAAGAAACGGTCACCAATCTTTTGTCGGTAGAAATTGTCAGCTAATATGCATTGGGTCGTGGGGCCGACCTTTGAACCTTTGGCGGGCATCTCCAACAGCGCACCCACGAGAAAATCGATGTCGTCCACACAAGAATAGAGGCTTTTCAATTTCTGAATGTCCTATACGTCGGATAATAACAATAATAATAATACATTTATCGTTACATGCCGACGGTGATGATTGTGCGAGCATAGATCTTATAGATATAAAAAAAACATTTTAAAAAGGAGCATCAACCTTGTAAGGGATTAAATCGATTAAATCGTCAAACTCTTTAGCTTCCGGAATTCCACAAACCGATCTCATCTTGTTATAAGGGGGCATCCCGGTATCTCGACCTCTTTGTATATCCGTCGAGAGCAAATCACTTCCGCTGAATTTCGGTGTAGTTTGTTGGAATAAGCAATTTGAAATCTGTAATGGGCAATTATATAGCCAAACATATTTCATAAACTCAAATTATATCATAATATTAAATATATGCTATAGCCTATAGGCTATAGTGGTAAATTCGGGTTGGAAATAATATGTATAACATAATAAATAATAATATGTCAACTACATAGTATAGACTATATGTATAAAATATTTTATTGTAGTCGGCAATGATTAGTGGGTATTATCGTATGAACGAACATTTTAATCAACTTTATATTTCATATAGTAGCTGGTAATTATATATATACCCAAACGTTGTAAGACGGCTGTTCTTCACGAGTAGGCATTTCTTGAAATCCACGAAGCAGACTATCAAAGTTATTCGGCATTGGCAAAAGATCGGGCTTATTCATCCAGTCGGTGAGCAAAACGGGATGGATATTGAAGTGGTATTTACCTATAAAACTGACGGAAACAATGTGTTTATTGTTACGTCCCGACTGACGTCATATATACATCAACAGTGGCTGCGCGAAATTGTGTAGGCTTTGAAGCATATTGTATATTTTAAATATTTTTACCACCGTACCCTTCATTGAACCAAAATTAGCAACATGGGCCATTAATAATTATTAATTATAATATTTGCCATGATATTTTTGTTGAGGTCTTACGATATATTATATACCTCCACCCATCCATTTCAGACATGAAGCAATTGCTTCAAATAATCCTATATCCCGCCGCCACTGTACATCAATGTAGAAATGAATACTTGATGTACTTGGTTATGATGTGTGTTTATTTTAACCAAGTACAAAATTACAATAATATAAACTATGGTGGAGAAGAGAGCGGTGTTATGACTCTAACATGAAATCAAGACTGTGAGTGGTGTTACGATACCTGTCTCTAAGTTTCTTTGGTATCCCCCCCCCAACCGTCTAATCGTTTGCTCAACCCATATTATTGTAACCGTCTGACGAGCTCTTGTCATGGGTCCTATATATATTATGTTTGTGTCTTTTGGAGTGGATGATCGTAGTAGTGGCTAAATTCGGTCATGAGGCAGAGTTCTGGTCTCGTACTTGGTATTCTGGTCGACTCGTATTCTTCTGTATGAGTATTGACTTTCCCGATGAGAGACGTGTGACGACACTTTTATAGCTTAATTGTTTTATACTACGCTTTTGCAATGACCTCAGCATGTTATTATATACTAATTGCCTTATTAATTATATCGTCCATTATACTACTAGAAACGTGTGCTATGTTGTTCACAGATAATAAGTACGTAACATTATCAAGAGATAATAATATAATTTGAATGGTCATTTTAGTCATTAGTTAAGACTTAAGAGGGATCAAACTGCATTTAAGAGGACATCAAACACACGTGTGTTACCTCATACAAATGTACAATATTGCAAATTGGCGTTTAGATAAATCAATTTTGTGTTTTTAGCCTTAGCATTAGTTAAGTTAATTTAATGGTTTCCAATCTAATGGTTTGACATTTATAGAAAAAAAAACTAAAAAAATTGACAATGTCCCTAAGCAACTCGTAAACAGTCAAAATATTTTGACAATTTTATCAAGTATAGGAATTGATAAAATAAACGTATGATATAAATTTCAAATGTCTACGGTTATTCATTTTTGAATTACAACAAAATAAGAAAATCGCTACCTACATGAGAAATCGAGCAAATAATATTCAATGTTGTAAGAATTCGAACTTAAAACGCTCATAAAAATTTAATTTGATTTTCCAGTAGACATTTTTTTTATGATAAAGTTAGTCAAACTTATGAAAAATCTTGTATTGCATTTTAAAATTTTAGAATTAAAAAGAAATATTTTTTATGAATTTCTATGTCAAAATAATTTGAAAATGTTCGTGAAGTTTACGTATTTTGTCAAAAGTCGAACTTTAAACGCTTATAAAAAATTGTGAATACATATTTTTAAACTTTAATAGTATTAAATGCTCAAACTTTTTGATCCAATAGATAAAATGTTATTGACATTTATAGAAAACTAAAAAAAATGTAATAGCTCAAAACAAGGCAAAATATTTTGAAAATTTTTTCTTGAATAGAAAATGTTAATGTAATCCTCAATGAAAATGTCATGTAGGTATCTACGGTAATTTTTTTTAGAACTGCACTAAAAACCAAAATCGATTTTGCGTAATATTTCTCGTTTTTACTTAATATTTTTGTTTTTCCCGCTTTTGAAAACTACTGAGAACTTTAAATTTTGTCCAACCGAATGCACCAACTAAATTTACTTGTCTATCAGAAATTATACTGTTGAAGATAATCTAACCATTTTTATTGTCCAAAAAGGTAATGGCAGACACAAAAAAAATACACACTTCATTGTAAAATCAATACATTTATGGCTCCGCTCAGAATCTATAATAAGAAAAACAGGATTTTTAAATTTTTAAATAAAATTCGTTTTCAACAAAATCCTATTATATTGTGGTTAATAATAAATAAAAATAATAACCATTTAACCCATAAAAGTTTTGTTGTTAAGGTTAACCTACTTAAATGTATATTTAAAATTTTTCATTTTATACTTAATTATTTCATGTGTATTGTGTATACATAATATATAGATATAATATACTATATAGTTACTTTAAAATAGAAGGGATTTCCTTATGGAGTATCCTGAACGCGCCTGTCGAATGCTCTTGTGTCGTGCCCGGATTTACATTTTCGTCGTATACCGTTTGTTCGAAAAATCCGTATAAATGCATAAAATGTTCTCCTATAACATTTTAATTGCACTCAAACAATGCAAACCTCGTAAATATCATGATTATTAGTGCCTACCCAACAAAATCGGCAGATAATGGGTGTACGTAATGTGCTGAATGACTGCGATTACAATCCTACGCGTTTCTTGATAAATTTCTTCGTCACGCCAAAACGGATTGAAACGTTTCAAGTCATATGCAACAATATTGTGGAATCTCAAAAACACGTTTTGGAAAAGAGCGATTCCTAGGTTTTGATTTACCCGACTGTCACCTAACACGAAAAACTAAAATATTATCGTAAACGAAACTTTTAAATTAGATTTATTCGATATTATAAGTATTCGTACCCGCGGCAAAACAAACTGCCGAATTTGGCGATGTGTCACATTGCTTCGACGTCCGATTCCTTTGAGGACAAAATTCCTGTTGACCTACGTAAAAGTCCGATTTTAATCGACCGTCCTTGAACGACCGCAAGTCTGCAGCGACTTTCTCATCGGAGCCGTATATTTGGGATCCGTCGATGAAATGCGTAGCCTCGACCATCTGAAAATGAGGTATGTTTGTATGATATACAATATTATATAGTACTTACGTGTTTTCCTAACTTTGAGGATACGTGGCTGGTGGCTCATAAGATATTCATCCAGTGGCGGAGGGGGGGGCTAAGGGGCGTTCGCCCCCCCCCTTGGGCTGTCTTTTTAACGTTATTTTCTATTATAATATTTGGCTAAACAAAAAGACAATTTAATTTTTGAAAATCCCCCCCACCTTGGATGACTTCTGGATTACAATTTTAAAATATTACAATATAATATATCATAATATGTTATATAAGATATGAAATATTTATGTATGAGTATTTTAATTTTAAGACGATAATGATATCTGTTTTCTCAAATTAATTTCGAAATAAATTCAATAAAATGCACGAAAAAATATAGTACACGATTCATGGCGATCAAAAAATGCCTTTTGATGTCTTGTCTGACTCTCTGTACAATTAAACAAACATATCAATATCATTATAACATGGATATAATTAATAATATTGTATATTGTACCAGAATAATATCTTATATACAGCCTGCAGGAAATAAAAAAAACTCGTTTCGATGATTTTCGTCTGTTATAATCTTCATGTTGTCGTAATAATATTTTATTATAATTTATAAAAGTTGAGAGATAAAATCATGTAGTATATAATATAACTTCTGATTTTTCATCAAGAAAAATCATTTACCTAGAGGCTAAAAATATTTAATCAAGATTTCTCAACAATTATTAACGGATATAGTTATAAGGTAAATATAATATTAATTCTCAGTATGTGTTCAATGTTGGTCCAAAGTGAGAAATACTAAACTTAAGATGTCACTATGCCAGATGATATAATATTAACTATGATATAAAAATGTCATATTATATAAATCTTCTTCTATATTCTATCTTCTATCTTCTGTAACTAGATAAATGTGAAACTACTTATATACTTAGATACGGCTAATATCAGAATTGGTTATGGTTGAATATAATTTTAGACCTGTATATTATTATATTTGGTCAAAACCATATAACTTAATAAAAATGGTATTCTTAACGTTAACTTTTAGGCCGTTGCCCTGGTGTTGCCTACACACGCAGCATATCATAGACAACGAGTAATATAACATCAGTAATTAAGTACGCACAAGCATAAGCACGTAAATAGGTGCTATGATTAACGTTTTTCAGAATGGCTGAGTCTAAACAATGTACAACGATGTATACTTTATAATCGTTTATAATGTAGGTGGCTTATTATTTAACAAAGTTTCAAAATATATATATAAATATATAGGTATATAATATTATTTTGATACTCACAGCTATAGGTGTTAGGTATAAATATAATAATTTCATAAAATTGCTCTTTCTCCAGAGACTTATAATTAATAATAAGAAGAATTAAGAAAATAATAACATAGTAGTTACATAGTTAAAATTATAATATTAATCAGTAGCTATTTTTTCATAGAAGCAAAGCGGTTAATTATATCATCAACTAAGATCTCCTATTTACGATGAATATGTATAGCAGAGCCAAACCTTATAGCCGATCTTGCCCTATCTTAGAATGTAACCAGGTTTTTAATCTATAACAACTGCAGTCAATAATAATAAAGCAGCTTACAAGAAAAGCTTAATACAATAATTAGTGTAATAGTTAATCATTAGTAAATTTTATAATCATAGGCCATGGACAATAATATCAAGTATGTTTCAATGAAGCAGCTCAAGCTATAAAAAAAAAATAAAAAAATAATAATTCTAATTTGATAATATTAGAAACAAATAAAAATGATCACCTTCTTAATTCAAATTACAGTTTTAAACATAACATAATATTGTGCGGAGTATTATACTATAATCATTGGGTATATTTATAATCATAATTTATAATTACATTTTTATTTATTTTTTTATTAATTATTAGTTATTACAGTACAGATTTTTAGGGGGGGGAAGTAAATCTCACCCATTGCCACCATCCCCCTAAATTACGTGCCTGACCTCGAGGGGTCTGCAATCCACCCAGGGGCGTCATTTGGGGGGGTGCAGGGTGTACATTTGCACCAACATTTTTTATAAACGCCTTCTTTGGCCTGCCAACAATAAATATAAGCGCCGATATACCTAAGTGTTATATTATATTAATATATTATATATATTTTATATTTTTTCAGTATTTAAAAAATAATAATAAATATTATAGGTACTAATGGGTTTTATTTCCAAAAATGATCGATGTGGTTGTGTCTTGTGTGGTTATATCATTGACATAATATAAAATAATAATAATATAATTATGTCTATGGGTTATATATATTTATTATTCTCTACCATGCAGGGCCGGATTATGGTCATAATTTAAGGGGGGCTATTACTTTTATTGAGGCCTTTTCACCTAAAACAATTTCCTTTTTTTCTTCTGATTTATTAATTTGTAATAAATATAAATTAAAATAAGTATAGCATTGTTTTTAAATAACATTTTATTCTTATATCATATTATACATTTTTCGGCATATGCAATAAAAAAAATATACCTACACATATATTTTGAATCTTATATAATATTATTATGTTTGAAAAACTTTTTCCTGGATTTTTCCTGGGCAAATTGTCTTATAATATTTTCAAATGAAATATTCATAGTCAATTCACACTCTATTGAAAGAATAGATAGAGATGTCAGTCTTGATTCACCCATCATACAACGATATTTATTTTTAATTATTGTTAGTGCAGAAAAAGATCGTTCACTTTCACAGTTAGTAACTGGTATACTTAAAAAAATTCGGAACGCTACATAAATATGTGGAAAAACGCCCGAGAGATTATCTTCAACAATCATTTTTAACATGTTAACCGGGTTTTTTATTAATTTATTATCTTCCTTGACTTTAACCATACCAATGAATTGTTTCAATTCGTCGTATAGACTTTCTTCTAGATCACGAGAGTAAACTTTGACTAAATTATTAACGGATTTTCAATAAATTATCATCAATCACGTCCAAGCGAGTCAAAAATCCAAAAAGATTTGTTATATTGTCATAAGCTGAGCTACGTTTTTTTAATTCGGTATGCAATTTATCAATGATAACAAAAAAAGTGTTGACTCTAAATATATCTCTACCTTTTAAACTCTCATGACATGTAGACATGTAGTACCATCCGAATATTTTTGAATAATATTACGTTTGTTTTTTCCTCCATTAGACCATTCTTTATTAACTGAGAGACTCAATATTTTTGCTTCATCTTCAATTGCGTCAAAATCATTTCTGAGTTCATCAACAAATGTTATCAACGATTGTAGCATGCTATTACCAGCAGTGTTGTAAAGTATTTGAGTAAAAGTATTCAAATACTTTTTTCCGTATTGAATACTTTTTCAAATACTTTTATTTTTGAAGTATTTGAACGGTATTTTAAATACATTTTTTTACTATTGAATACTATTTTATTGAATACTTTTTTTATTCCTTCAACTTTTTATTCATTGTCAAATAATAATAATGTCTTAATAATATTATAATATATATTTATCATTTATGAACAATTCTATATTGGTTTAAGTTTTCGTCTATTAATAGCTAATTAATATTAGTTACTCTGAGAAACCGTCTGTTTATCGTCGACACTCGACGACGATTGGAACGGTACGTTTCGGTACCTACTACCTACCAATATAGTATATTATCATAGCGAAATATAATACGAACATTAGGTAGGTAAGGTATGTCGTATACGTAGTTATTTTTTTGTTTTGTATTTGAAAATTATTTCAAATACTTCTAAAAAGTATTTGAGTAATACTCAAATACTTTACAATAGATAGTATTTGGGTAGTATTTTAAATACTTTATTTTATAAGTATTTGAGTAATTACTCAAATACTTTTTAAAAGTATTTTTTACAACACTGATTACCAGTGACCATATCAATTTCAATTCTTTGTAAATAAACACTTGTAGCATTGAATCTGCCTAGAACACGTTTCCAAAAAATAGTCATAAAAGCTATTTCTAATTTTATTAACTTTTTCTTAATTGAATTGGCATCATGACGAGTGTCAGCATTTTCATTCATATCTTTAGAAATGTCAGATAACGTATTATATATCTCATCATAATTACCAGCTAATGCTTCAATAGCATCATTACGACAAGACCACAAATTTATAAGTTATAATAATGTTTTGAAAAAAAATGAGTTGACACACTGTGGCCCCTTTCAACTTGCGGCCCGGGGCTATAGCCCCCCCCTAGCCCCTCCTTGATCCAGCCCTGCTACCATGATATTATTACCATCGAATATATAAATATCTGTGGGTATAATATTATGCTGGTATAGATTTCTTATCACGTTCCGGTATCTCCCTACTCATTATAATAAGAAAACAACATGATATATAAATATATAATTCCCATTAAAAGGGAAAAAATTGTCTAAAAATAGCAACCACAGAATATTATTTGTTTACATTTTAGATTCTGAGTGGAACGATGAATGTATTGATTTTACAATGATGTGTGTATTTATTTATTTTTTATTTTTGTGTCTGTGTACACGATAAGTAGTCGAAATAATGCTTCGATTTTCGACTTCAGTATCTTGTTCGATTGGAAAGTGAATATCGTTGGTGCATTGAGGAGGTCAAATTTTAAAATTCACAGTACTTTTCAAAAGCGCCAAGAAAAACAAAAGAAAAATTAAGGAAAAACGGGAATTTTTACGCAAAATCGATTTTTCAGAAAATTGAATTTGGTTTTTGGTGTAACTTTAAAACAAATGACCGTAGATACATGAAATTTTCACTGGTTGTTTATATTTGCATTTTCTATATTCGATAACATTTTCAAAATATTTTGATTTATTTTGAACTGTTTAGGGACATTTTCATTTTTCATTTTTTTTAGTTTTTTTTCTAGAAATATCAATAACATTTTATTTGTTGGTTGAAAAAACTTGAAAATTTAATAGAAGGCTCCTAGTAT